TGATTCTGTTTACTGTAATGTTATGCTGCTACCACAGAAACCTGCAAGTCTCATTGATACATGCTTGTTATTAGCTATGAGAAAAAAAAACCACAAAAAAAACAATGTGGCAATGAGATTGCAATATTGGAGCAATGATGTAATGGTGTGATGTAACGGTTTAAGATTAAGGCTCATCTTCAGGACAAGTCTATGAGTCAATATTGTGGCAGTGTTGAATTATTATAATTTTTTGGTAATGTTAGAGCAAAAACTTAGGGGGTTAATATTAACTAATGATGATGTTGAGGAGGGGATTGTAATAATAATAATATTGAATAAAAGGAATGAGATCAACAGGGAGGAGGAGAAGAGAAGGAAAGGGGGAAAAGAAAAAGGGAAAATAGAAAAGGAAAAAAGAAAGAGGGAAGAAAGGTAAGAATGGAGGGAAAGGAAGGGGAAAAAAGAAAAGAAAGGGAAAAAGATATATTAATTATATAGGCTCTAGGCTCATGCGCTGTTCAAATACATATGCCTTTGTTCTGGAATTTGGGGAGTCAGTCTTACTGTCTCCATATTGAGCCCAATTTTTTCTCTCACCACTGAGAGTTCAGAGTGTTTTTTGTTGTTTTTTTGCCGGTACCTCCATAACAACGCAATGTATAATACAGAGTTCTTATATCTGGATTACACTAAAGAGTGAATAAAGAAAGCAGTTAAAAAGGCTGATTTTGAAGGTAGTAAGACAGGAAGCATCCTTAGATTAAGTAAGCTGCAATCACCTAAAATGACAAAATTATCCCAAAACCAAAAACAAGTGTATGCACTCAAAATATACTTAACATCCATTGATCAGAGAAAACCTGAGAAAATGTAAAAAACACAATCTAGTGCAGATTATCCTTATTATAATACACCGTGATTAATACACACATATGAGGGTTACACTCACATTTACCAGAGCCCTATCAACCTTGGCTCTGGGTGAGAAAGACTCTGTGTCACATCTGCACATAAAAATTTGATTTTATAACATGACAGGAGGCTTCATATTTGCTTTAGTCTCTCTTTACTAGAACTCCACAGCAGCACAGAAAAACAACCAATCAGAAAAAAGTTAGGTACTATAAAACCCCCTTCCCATTGCATCATTTCCTCTTTCTTTGCTGCTCCGCATCAGTACAGGTCAGAGTACCACTGTCTCCTGCTTATAGTGGGTGGCTTTGGGATTTAGTGTGATTTATTTATGATTGTTATTAATTATGCGTCCGCGAGGGTCGTAGGATCATGTACCTAAACCCAGTAACCCTGTGACGCTAATGGAAATATCTAGTGTAGGCTTGTGTGCAACCCCCTATCCCTACCGGTCCAGTTAACTAAAAACAAAAACATCAACCAGAAAACTTATTTCGTAAACTTCTAATGCGTCCTCCCCAACCGAACTCTCCCGTAGCTCAGGTGTCGTACCACCCCTCCGCCTCCCCCCTCCGAGCTTCCGCTTCCCTGCTACAGGGAAGAAGGCAGCGCCCAATGCACCCCCCCACCTTGCTAATATGCAGAGTGTCCTCCCTAGAGACCCCCTATCCCCTTCATCCCCTTCTACTATAGTGAAGGTGCTCCCTTTGCAGGTCCAGTGGCTAATCCCTATACCACCCATCCTCCGTGGCTAGGCCCATACAGCCGCTCACTCCCCCCCCTCGTCTTTATCCTTGCCAAAGTTGATTCCAAGCGAGATGCATTAAGAAAGTGTGTATCTTAAAGGGGTTTTTTTTGGGGGGGGGGTTGTGTGTTTGGGGGGGGATGTGTGTGTTCGCCCTGTTCCCTTCCTCCCCCCCTCCATGCGGCCACATGTCATATCAGCTTGCTCCACTCTGGCCTCTCCTATCCCAGGTCCTACCCTGCTCTCCTGGAGTCCACTTGCCCCCTCTTCCGTGCGGGCCCCCTCTTACGGACCTTTGTCCCCGTCTGAGCCCTCACCATTTGAGCCCCTCCCCCCCTTTGCGCCTAGACTTCTCCGATTTCACCCATTCTCCCTCATCCTGCCTCCCTGCCATCGCCCTAGAGCAGTGATGGCGAACCTTTTTGAGCCCGAGTGCCCAAACTGCAATACATGCCAACATTTTTTCTCCTTAAAGTGCCAACACGGCAATTAAACCCAAATACTGAGGTTTAAGTTTAGAAAAAAACAACTCGTACTGTTGTCCGAACTAATAACTTTTGTTTTAAAAGAACACAGAGAGTTCAATGATACAAATTTTAAATAATGATATAAATAGATAAAATTAAGCTTATATTTATTAGTATCTCCAACAAATGCAATACATACACACACAGACAGCTGAATACATACACACAGTCTGCTGAATACACACACACAAGACTGCTGAATACAGAGACTGATGAATACACACAGACAGACTGCTGAGTACACACACACAGACAGACTGCTGAGTACACACACACACACACAGACTGCTGAGTACACACACACACACAGACTGCTGAATACACACACACACACACACAGACTGCTGAGTACACACACACACTGCTGAATACACACACACACAGACTGCTGAATACACACACACAGACTGCTGAGTACACACAGACTGCTGAGTACACCCACACAGACTTCTGAGTACACCCACACAGACTTCTGAGTACACCCACACAGACTGCTGAGTACACCCACACAGACTGCTGAGTACACCCACACAGACTGCTGAATACACGCACACAGACTGCTGAATACACGCACACACACACACTGCTGAATACACACATACTGCATTGAGGTGGGGGGTGCGTGTGTGTGTGAGTGTTGTATGTGAGGGGTGCTGTGTGAGGGGGGTAGGGGTACTGTGTGTGGGGGGTAGGGGTACTGTGTGTGGGGGTAGGGGTACTGTGTGAGGGGGGTAGGGGTACTGCTGGGGGTTAGGGGGTACTGCTGGGGGGGGTAGGGTACTGTGTGTGGGGGGTAGGGGTACCCTGCTGGGGTAAGGCACTGTGTGTGGGGGTAGTACCTGCCGGGGGTTAGGGGTACTGCTGGGGGGTAGGGGTACCTCGTGTATAAAGGGCACTGCTAGGGGTTAGGGTACTGCTGGGGGGTTAGGGGTTACTGCTGGGGGTTAGGGGGCACTGCTGGGGTTAGGGGTTACTTGCTGGGGAGGGTAAGGGTTACTGCTGGGGGGTTAGGGGTTACTGCTGGGGAGGGTAGGGGTTACTGCTGGGGGGTTAGGGGTTACTGCTGGGGGGTAGGGGTACTGCTGTGGAGGGTAGGGGTACTGCTGTGGAGGGTAGGGGTTACTGCTGTGGAGGGTACGGGTTACTGCTGAGGGGTAGGGGTACTGCTGGGGAGGGTAGGGGTTACTGCTGGGGGGGTTAGGGGTTCTGCTGGGGGAGTAGGGGTTACTGCTGGGGGGGTATGGGTGCTGTGTCAGTATATCCCCCCTCCCTCCTTCTTACCTTTAATGAAGTAGGGGGGGAGGGGGGGGACAGCGATCCCTGGTGGTCCGGTGGTGGTAAGCACTGCAGGGGGAGGGCTCCAGGAAGCAGCTCCCCTGTCCTCCCATGCTGTGTGGAGTGTTGCCATGGTAACGCGCGGCAACGCTCCACACAGCATCGCGCGGGAGGACAGGGGAGCTGCTTCCTGGAGCCCTCCCCCTGCCTCCCGACCCGGAAGCAGAGTAGGTGCCTGCCGTTTCGGGCAGGCGCCTACTCTGCATTGATGGCGAACCTGTGGCCGCGTGCCCACAGAAAGGGCCCGGCGTGCCACCTGTGGCACGCGTGCCATAGGTTCGCCATCACTGATATAGTGTCATCCTCCTCCATACGACCCAACAAGAGGGAGGGGAAAATTTGGCTGAGGGAGTAGTGAAGGCCACAATGGCCGGATTTGCCCAGAAGAGAATAGGGCCTTCCCACTGACAGGCTGTCTGGCCTGCCCTTAGCCTTCAGGATCATGCAGGGAATGCTGCTAAAGTCCTTCCTGTATGGGCTTAGTGTCCACTGCACAGTGCAAGTCTAACCAACTAGGGAGTAACATAGACAAGCATAATGTAACCCTACGGAACAAGCACAACTTAGTGGAAAGGGGCTTGACAAAGCTAGGAGGGCATAGGGGGGAGGCCTCCTTTTGGGAGTGGAGTTTGAGTGTTAAGGGGTTGGCCCAGTATAAATAGGCAACCATTTTAGAAGTAGGCACTTTTAATCTGCTTACCTGGCCTAAATTGGTTGCAATTTCAGCCTGCAGCTTGAGCCTGGTAGGTTTTTCTGCTTTCTTTTGCTGCAGGTTCAAGGCCCAGAGGATGGATCCAATGGAGCAGTTCCTGGCTGAAGTGAGAGCGGTGGCACGGGATCGTGGAGCAGCATGGGTACAGGAGCGCCTGGGATCGGCCCTGGCTGGAATCTGGAATGGCGGCGGGACCGGCTGCCTGGCGCGGGTGAGGAGACTGCCACAGAGGCTTAGCCTGGGCCGGGTCGTCATGCCCGCCGGCGGAGTCGGTGAGAAGGTGGCGGATCAGAGCCGCAAGGTCAGAGGCCCACGCATGGGACGTGGGGACGGTGCTCTGCCCCCTGGTGAGCATGGCCAGACTGACGGCAGTGCGGCTCCCCAGTCGGGGGAAGCTGGGCAAGGCACGTGCTCTGCTGTGACTGGCAGGGGGAGCCCAGGACTGCTGGTCACGGGGCCGTCCGCCGAGAGGGCGGCCCCTGGCGGTGGTGGACGGCATAGTGAGCCTGCTGTTGCCAGGAGAACCAGGAGCAGTGTCGCTGGAGGAGCAGCCCACAAGCAGGCAAGTGACCTTGGTGGGTGTGGGGCAGCTGGTCCCCCTGGGGGGGGTTGATGCAGCTCAAGGGGACCCGGGGCCTTCAGGGACCGTCACATGGCCCGGGGAATAACTCTGGGGTTACTTCAGTGGGCCCCTCCTCCACTACGGGTGTCACTGGGACTGGGCTGGGGCCCTTAGGTAGTCGCGCAAGGGACCTGGCTGGGGGTGTCGGGAGGACGGCCTCAGGAGTCTTGCTGGTTCAGCACGGCTTGACAGGTTGGTGCCATACGGGGGGGGGGGCACATGAGCAGAGTCACCCCCTTGCATCGTTCGGGCCCTCTCTGGGCATCTCAGGAAAAGCAGATTTGCAGTCAGCCGTGCTGCGCAGGTCAGGGCGGCACTGCCCTCTGGGGTCCTTGGTTACAGTTGGGACGGGTTCATTCGGCAGGCTGCGCTTCGGATGTCCAGGATGGCAACGATGGACTGCTGGCGAGGAAGGTGGGCCAGGCTGGTCGCACTTTGGGGACCAGTGAGGAACGGTGCGGGAGGTGTGCACAGCCCAGGAGATGCCGGTCTCAGGGGAAGGCAGGCTTGCCTAGGGATGGCTTGCCCATGTCATGTGTCCTCAAGGGGTTAAACAAGTTTGGCACTTATATTATGTTTTGTTTATGATGTTTGTTATTACTGTTGTTTATGTTATTTATATTTACCGAAATGGTCATTGCCTTTTGTTTCGGGGAAAAATTATGTTATATGGCGGAATGGGGGCTGGGCAATGACTTAATTTATTGTTAATTAATAAAACTGTGGACATATTGACCCATACATTAGTATCAGTGTGTTTTGGGTGGGGGAATTCCACCTGCCCATATGGAGACAATGCGCTTGTCATGAATACCATCTACTGTGTGATTAAAGAAAACTATGGGTTGGTCTGCTTTTGATGCAGGAAATGGATGAAGCATTGATACAAGCCACACACATAACAAAGGCTTTTTTTTGTTTTTATAGTTTACTTGCAATAGCTGTAGACAAAATATTTTTTTTAAATAAAGTTTAAAATTCCAAACTATTCAGGTTAATCATTCAGACTAGAATACATTGGGTTAATCAATGTACTGTACTCAATGGCAATTATTCAATGGCAACATTTAGAAACTGAATCTAATTATGTTGGATAGAGAAAGTACCGGATGAGTCAATGATGTTTAGCCTTAGGAAAAAAAAACTGCTGCGTAATGGTGAACAGGTGGATTTTAGGATTTGCATATTATCTATATAAGGCCCATTATTATTTTCAAAGTGCAATATTATTTTTAAGATTCCTTCTACGTACTTAATGATTATCACATTGTAAAATAATTTTATGAATATGCAAATCCTAAAATCCATCGGTTCACCATTACACAGCAGCTTTTTTTTTTTTTTGCCCTTGTTCTACTTGAATTTAGTTCTACTATCTCTGCCAGTACAACAGTGAGGAGGTGAATGCTGTTTTTTATTATTATTATTATTAATTTATTTTTATTGTGTACTGTAGTAATCTAACCTCATCTTTTGTGTGATTTTCTTCTTATTGTTGAAAATAATACTTATCTAGTGTCTAGTATCATGTTGTAATATCACACACCCTTTTAGACACTCTTCTGCTTTAGTCTAAAAATGCTTGTGTCATTTTGCGTTTGTTTTATAGTTATTGTGTGGGTGTAATATGATGCTTGGAGACAATCAGAGGAAGCTGTTTCTCTGTAAACATTCAGTATCAAGAGGAACGAATGGTGACGCATCAACTAACCTATAGCTGAACAGCTTATAGTTTTGACTTGTGTTCTTGAAATAATTAAAATACAGTATAAATTTAGAAATTGAATTCCTTCCTGATCACTGATACTGCATGTTATGATTTGTAGGGATTTAAAGTGGCACTCTCACCCTTTTCCTTAGTCAGATCTTCAACATCTGGCACTTCAAGTGGGAAAAGCCCTTTTAACTGTTGTACTCTCACACAGAAAAATCCTGTAGCACAATTTAACCCCTTCAAAACCCAGCAGCGCACATGTGTACATGGTCAATTGACCATGTACAGTTTTGTGCACTGTAGAGGTTAAATTCTAACATACTCATAAATAAAACCTTAAACTATGTACATATAATACAAATACACAGACATGTGGGAAAAGGGGATGTGATCTTTTATTTGGTTTATAGACATATTGAACATTAACTTTAAACACTTTAAAAAGACAACCATAACCATACATCTCCGGTCTTTAAACCCACCAAAGATTTAATTCATGACCTGCCAGAGTTTAGCCCTATTAGCCAGAA